GGTGTTACCCCCCGCAGCACGGGCAGGGGGACGGTCCCGGGGTCCCCCGGCCCAGCACCCCCGCCGCTGCCCCGGGAGCCCCAGCAGCCCCGTTCCCCGGTGCTTTGCCACGCAACATCCCCCCACCCCCTGTCCTGGTGCGTGGTCACAGATGAAGCCCCAAGAAGGGGGCTCAGGGTTGTCCCCTGTGCTGGTGACACCCCTGGACTGCGGGCATCGATACCCCCCCCTCCCTCAGGGCAGGAACCGCCTCAAGGAGCAGCAGTTTCAGCAGAGAGGGAGCTGGAAGGAAACTCCCAGAACCAGAAATGTGGATTATTTCTCCCCTGAACGTGGTTGGGATTTTAAAAATGCATGTCCCTTTGCTCTCCCCAAGATGATGGTGCCCCCTCCTTACACGGTGGGGGGTCAGTTCTGAAGTCACTGCAGTTTATTGCAAGGAATTGGCAAAGAGTTGTTCCTGCAATGGCAGGTTTGTCGATGTTTTGTGGGTCAGGTCTCTCTGTCAGTCCCTTCAGAGCTGAATCAACAGGTAAATCCTGGTTGTGATCAAACCAGCAGCAGGGAACAGAGGAGGTGACACTTCAGAGGGGTGTTCCAGTGTGTGGCTGCTTCAGAGCAAGGTGGTTGGCAGGAGAAATGTTGCTTTGTAGTGATTGAAGGGAGTGATGGAGGGAAAGTCCTGCAGGGGCTTTGTCAGCACTTGACAGCTGGCTCAGGGGATGCTCCTGGTTCTGAAGGTATGAAGGTTGTGAAGGTGATTTGGTGACAAGAGTTGCTGTGTTTCTGGAACCAGGGCTGCTGTGCTGCCTGTGTTCCCAGGAGCAGACAGAAGGGGAAAAAAAGAGCCCCTGAAACCATCCCAGGCTGTGAGCTAGAACTGGAGATCCAGTCCTGTGCCAGAATCTCCTCATAAAACTGGAAATCAAATGCAGACAGACCCCAAGTGCCAGCTGTGGGGTTTTGTGGTTGCAGGGGGAAAAAGCTGCTCAGCCCTGCTTCTCTCCCCAGGGGTACAAACAAACCCATTCACAGAAGTGCTTAACCTGAGGTACCTGCCCCAGGACTGACCTGGTGGAGCTGAGCTCAGATACTGGACCCCCAAAAAAATCATGTTGGTTTAAATGTGGAGTCATGAGGCACCTTCAGCAGGCAAATGAATCCAGGTTCTCAGAGAGAATCTGTTCAGTTGTTTTCCACTGAGATGATGTGTTTCCTCCCTGACCCCTCCCTGTTCCCCCCAGGATGAGACAGGGGCCTATCTCATCGACAGAGACCCCACCTATTTTGGTCCAATCCTGAACTACCTCCGACACGGGAAGCTGATCATCAACAAGGAGCTTGCAGAAGAAGGTAAGAGGCAAAAAAATGCCAGGTGGGAACTGCAGGTGCTGTTTGATGGCTCTATCCATGAGCCCCCCTGGGGTCCCTGGCGGGGTGAGGAGGCCACATCCCCAACTAGTGCTGCTCATGAGTCCTCTTAGTATCTCAGAAGGATGCTCATTGATTTGATTAAATCATTAATTTCTCTCTCTTCCAATGGGATCCTGGCTTGTATCAGGAATAGTGTGGCCAGCAGGAGCAGGGATGGGATTGTCCCCCTGAGCTCAGCACTGGGGAGGCCTCAGCTGGAGTCCTGGGCCCTTCAGGGACAGGTCCAGAGGAGACAACGAGGCTGGTGAAGGGGATTTTCCTCACATATCCTGGGCTAGATCTGGGGTCAGGTGTTGTGCCCTCATAGCAGAATCATCTTCGCTCTGCACTGTACAAATAAAGAGGGTTTCCCTCTCCTTTTGGCTCCTTCCCCAGGGGTACTGGAAGAAGCAGAGTTTTACAACATCGCGTCCCTGGTGCGGCTGGTGAAGGAGCGGATCCGGGACAACGAGAACAGAACCTCTCAAGTAATGCCCAGGATGGAGTCAGCCTTTTTCTGTGGCACAGCAGGAGGACACCTGGGGCTGCAGGCACTTCCACCAGCAGCTCTTTGGTTTAGTTGTCATCTTCAGCAGAGAGAGAAGTGCTTTATACCCAGGCATAGCCAGGAAGGAGTATCCGTGATGGTTTGATAAGCGCATCTGGTTAGCGCTGCAGAGAAAGACAATCAATAGTTAAACAGGCATCTGGTTAGCGCTGCAGAGAAAGACAATCAGTAGGGGCCAGGAGCAAATGTGGGGGGTTATAAAGCAAAACATAGTGCTTTGGGGAGGTAAAGAATTGCTCCAACTCCTCCTTCTCCAACCCATTTTCTTCCCTTTATATCTGGCAGTTTTTTCCCATTGCTGCTCGGCTGATACGAACACACCCCGTAGACTCAGTTGCAGGAGAGAAGCACTTTCAAAACCAGTAAAATGGCTTTGAGAGCCAAAGAGGTTTTGCTTTCCCTGGCCCTGAGAGGTCTAAAAGGCTTTTCCTAAAAATGTGCCAGCTGTAGGTGCTGGCTTTGGAATCGATTGGATAGTCAGTAGGATGAAACCTCAGGAAGCCTGTGGGGCTCAGGCTGCCTCCAGTAACAGAGAGGAGAGGCTTCTTCATTTCCTAGCTTGATAGTAATGGAAGAGTTGAACTAAATTAATGCTTGTTGTTGTTCTCTGGGCTCTAGGGACCTGTGAAGCATGTGTACAGAGTCCTGCAGTGCCAAGAGGAGGAGCTCACACAGATGGTGTCCACCATGTCCGACGGGTGGAAATTTGAACAGGTACCATTACCAAAGAACAGCAGAATTCCTGTGAGAGCTGGGGGGGGAAGAAGCAGAATTTGCTGCTGAAATGCACTTCACACTGCTCTGCTCTCCTGAATAAGCAGCATGACCTGAGCAGGAATCTGTTTATAGAGTGGCTGACTGGGAAAGACAGAACTCATGCCTACTGCTCCCAAGGGAGGTTTCATTTTCTCTCAGGACTTCTTGTATCTTTGTTCCCTTCCACTTCCCTCTGCCATCCACACCCTTTGCACAAACCACAGACATCCCTGCCTGCCTCCTTCTTTCCATACACCACAAGCACCAGGAAAATTCCCTGCACATCCCACTCCAGCACAGAGCTGTTCTTGCCCTCTCCAGGCCTTGTGCCCTGACACCCACAAGGGCAGCAAAGCCCAAACAGGAGGTGCTGACCCAGAGCCCAGCCCCTCTCCAGTGCCACCCAGTGATGGCCCAGGCTGGGTGACAGAGCAGGAAGGTGGCAGTGGTGGAGCACAGGGTATATCCCATGCTGGGAGGCACCTTGTAGCTGCAGCCTGTTGTCAGGACCTCTCCCAGATGTGCAACCAGCAGAGCTGCTGCCCTCCTCCAGATCACACCACTTGGCATGCTGAGACATGTCAGGAAAGGGGCAGATCCACATCCTGGGGACACAGCCCATGGCTGCACCTTAGCCTGGATGCCAGGGGATGAGGGGAGCAGACATTCCTGCGTGGCCTTTTTGGATCCAGTCACTTCACACCATCAAAAAACCTGCAGGAAAGCCAGGAATGGTAAAAGCTGTTGCAGCCTGATGGTCTGTCAGGCTTGGGTTCTCAGAGGAGTAAGTGGCCTTGCAGGTTCTCTGCCTTGTACCATTCAGTCCTGCTTCAGGAAGGATGGAATATAAATTCAGAAATCCATTCTCCTGTCCTTCTAGTAGTCTGGAAAATTGCTGTCTTTATCCAAAGATACTTTGTGTTTCTTGAATGCCTGTTGCAC